TTATATTATTTCTTACTACTTTTTAAGTTACCATACTTACATGGCCAATAAATTGTGCAGTATTAATATATTTCAGTTACTTTTTTAATCACAATTAATTGATATTGGAAACCTGTCCTCTGGAGACATTCATAAATTGAAATTTTAGTTTTAATAACTGGGAAAAAATAATGTGCAAGTTGAACTCTTTTTATGTGGCATATTTTGTAAGAGGGTTTCCTTTCACATCTCATCAACTGCTGGTCAAAAAATATTTTATAATATTAATAAAATGTAAGTGGAGAATATCTGATGACAGGAGTATTATTTTCCTTAACCATAAGCTAAAGTTAGTATTTTAATATCATCACCTATGGTGGTTACATTAAGACACCTCAGGCCTTTTTCATTTTCATGCCAAACATTATTTATTCCATTCCCTTTTATTATTACAAAAGATTCTGTTTTAATTTTATCCAAAACTGTATGGTTTTTAGATTACCTGTGAGATCTATTAATCCACAGTAGTAGAGTTACCAGAGTTAGCTGAGAGAACTATTCTAAGTCAATATTTTTCACCACTGTGGCGGTGACTTCTCTGGGGAGGAACTCAAGTCTTGTAATAGAAGTTCAAGCAGGATCTAGGAAAATGAAAAAGAAAATGTTTTTCTTTGTTATTAGGTCTTTTTCTTCTGGGACCTACTAAAGACAGAGCTATTTATTAAAGAATATGCTATAAGCATTTTGGTTTCTGAGTCCCAAGTGTAGAAAAAGAGCAGGCTAGCTGCTGTGTTTYCCGGGAGTGATCCAGGAGTGGATTTGCTGGGTGAAGTCCCCTTGCAACTCTTGGCTGGGCAGATCTCTCCTGCCTGCTGGTGTGTCCTCTATGTGCATCCCAAGGGGACACGGGGAAGCAAGGGCAGGACTGGGCAAACCCTGGGGGTGGGCAGGAGTTTGGGGTCTGGCAGTGTGTCGAATACCTGCATTTGGTTCTGAGAACAGCCAGGCTGGACAGCCCTTCCTGCAGCCCCAGGGCTCCCATTCACTGCAGCTGGACATGGGACTTGTTTTTCCCTCTGTGGCCTCTCCATCCATGGTGTTATCCATAGATAACAATTGCAAAGCAAATCATATAGAGCACAGTATATCAATGAATGCAGCRTAGTGCCTCCCCGTTTCATCTCTGCCATACAACTCAATGTTCTGCAGTCTTTTGACAAAATGTTGTGCAAATAGGAGCTTCTTTGCAGATGGCCAACCCTCACTGTTTCCGTGTCAATTTACTAATTGTATTGACATCTCTTTGGGTGCAAATTCATGCTCTTTCTTCCAAAACTGATGCTGGGCAAATGTATCCTTTAATTTTATGCATATTTGTGCTACAAATATGCTGGGTTTTGGTAGGTCCCTCAYAGGCGTCTCTAAATAAACAATGCCTGGTTTTCTGGTGGAAACTCAAATGACTTGTAAGAAAATTTTCTGACTAATAAGGGCTGAGTTATCTTCGATCCACAGATATGAGGTTTGTACCTATGTTGCATGACCCTCTGCACCTTTCAYGTTATTGTTAACAAACAAACAACCCCCCTAGTGCATATATTTCCCAGAATCTTTCCTTAGATAAATGAGGAAAGAAAGTTATGAAGTATGAGGAATTTTTATAGGGCTTTTATCATTGGATACTATTGCCACAAATTTACAGAGGAGGAGTGTTCTGCCCATGGTAGTGTCCAAAAAATAAACATATTTTATGCCAGAATTATTTTTAATAACTAATTCACATAGAAGGTTAAATGCTACTTTAGCCTGTGGCCAGGCTGTCAGAGTAAATGTTTCTTGCCTTTTGACACTCACAAACTCTAGGCAAACAAGGCCAGAAGTACTCATTTAAGCACGGGTAGTGGCATGTGCAACAATGGAAGGGGAAAATTGAAATCAATGAAATTAAAATAGATTGAACAGACATGGAATGTATTAGTCATGGAAACATCCCAGCTTCCAGCACTTAAGGAGACAATTTCTGGAAGGCTATTTTCGTGATATGATTGACTTCAAAATGCCACAATGCTTAGAGAATTTTTGGGTGGTGAGACCAGCAGATTCACCCTGTTATAGATCAGTGTTGGGAGTAATGGCAGCTTTTAAAAAGCACTTCTACAATTCTCTTAAGCAAACCACAACTTGGGACCTTCTGAAGTGTCTATCCCGTCTGCAGGCTGCCAAGAAAGACAAGATCTTGCTCTGTTTTGAACCTGGCATGTGAAAAGTGGGGGAGTGCAGAGAGGTTTTGCAAGAAGGAAAGAAAGAAAATGGACCAAACTTGACAAAAGTTAGTGACAACAGTGAGAAATCCCAAACTGCACGTACAGCTGGCCAAGATAAGCATGAACCTACCCCCAAAGCTAAGAAGACCTCAGCCCACAGGCTAGCTTGGGTCAGCTCGCCACATGCTTCTGCAGCAGGAAAGGTGATGCCAGCTCAATTGCTGTGCAGCTTCCCCCCTCCCTGTCACACAGTCAGGATGGCATCTGCTCCCACCAGAGCTTGTGAATCAGGTTGGTGTTGGAGGCTTCCTTTCCTTCCAAGTCTGCTCTTCCATCTCTCACAGCATCTGTTTACTGGGGATTTGGGGGAGCAATGAAAGATTTGATCCTAATTAATTAAGTAAAACTTTTCTGCTGGAAATTTTTTTTCCATTATGGCTACAAGTGTATTAAAATAATATTGCCGTGTGCATAAAGAGCCTGACTTTTCTCTGATTACAGAGTTTCATGCTCATCACAGCTCTGAGGAATTTATAACCTGTTGTATGTGTGGTGTTTTATAAACAGAGTTTGTGTTCAATGATTACATGATGCAAGGAAACAGATGTGTTGTATAAACAGCTCTAACACTTTTGAAGGCAACAAAATACTTTGAACAACACAATGAAAATATCAGACATTGCAAGTCTAAGCCAATTGACTAAATTAATATCATATTGTTCTCTGTGTGAAAAATAGAAGRCCTGTTTCTGAAATAGCTTATTTCAGTATTTCACCAGTGGTACTCTCTTGATCTTAACACAGTTGCAGGAGATTTATACCTGAGACAAAACACACTCAAAGTTGAATGATATTTTTACTTGCATGACAAGAAAGACTGGGGGAGACAAAACCCTTTCTGAAGCTGATACATTTTTCAGGCATCTTAGGACAAGCAGCAAAATTTAAAAGCAGAGATGTTTATTATAATGTTTCCAATCTTAAGTTGCAGGGTCCTACCAAAAGGCTTTGAAACTGTCAACATGGCCCCTTATAAGTTTATTACTTGCCTATGAACTGGCATGTGGTTTAGATTTGTTAGAGGAAGTTTTCTAATGTACACTTTCAGTGTTTCTCTACTGTAAACAACTCCTAAATACAGAAAGTTGTACTGCGAGCCAAGCTGGACTTTTACTGGTCACCAGGGTCAACTGCAGAACCAAGTCTGACCTACAATCTCTGACTCCAATTAGTCACAAAACTAATTTATTTTTCATTTTCCAGGCCATTTGTCTTCTTGGAAACCACAGTGACTTATATGATTCCARGAGTTGCACTTGGAAAAAATTATTGTAGTGTGTTCGTCTGTATTTAGTTTTAACACGTGTTCATACCAGTGATTTATATAATACAAAAGGTGCTAGTTTATTTGAATTAGAAGACTTGGTGGCTCTGTTAGTGTTTGTGTCTGGAATATGTTCTTTTCAGAATGAATGTAGCTTGATTTTGATCTTTTTATGGCTTCCCAAGCATAGGTACTGTTCTCCAGTATAGACAGTATATGTGAGGTTGTCATGTTTTAGTTATTTGGTCAAATTCTCCATTGCTTTGTACTGTGAAAGGCACTGCAGTATTTTTTTTTTTAATGTGCGTTTTTATGATTTTGCACTGAAGTTAAATGTAGCTGTTTGTTCAGTGAAAAAAAAATTCTTTGTGCATATTGGAGTTGCAATAGCCGTATGATTTCCAGAATTTAGCAGATCATGGACTGTGGTATACGAGTACCATTTTTTCACCACTGAAGAAGAATTATATTTCCTTTGTGGTACAGTACTATGTACACACAATTACCATGAACAATAACTAGAATTATGAACATTGTTTATGAAGAAGTAGGGTAAATAATCATGTCTAAATCTCTTTCTCACTTTCACTCTTTACGTTGCAGGTAACGTAGATAATCTGAATATAAACTCATGAAAGGCATAAAATTGAAGTTAGTAGTGGAGGTTTAGATGACGATAAATAACTAAGAAGAATAAAATCTTTAAAAGGAGATAATTGGTACTGTATGCTCAGCAGTCCTTCAAATTTTAGGATGCCCCCATGTATACTTGCATCCATACCGATTCAACCCAGGACCCAAGCAGCTGTGTTTCAATCCTGTTCTGGATTCCATCGGAAGAAAATTTGGGCATCCAGAGCACAGAGACTTGGTCCCTGTCTCACATGGTTTCACTCTTCCAGCTAGCACAGCTGAGCCACTACAGCCAGGTATTAGGACACCCTACTGCCTGTCTTGCAGAAACAAATGATTTTGCAGGGAATCCTGCCTCTCTCTGCCAGTGCTGTGCACTCCAGTCAGTCCTATGGCTGATAAGGCATCCTTGCCTTCACAARGGTCTAATCTGCATGTGCACCATTCCTCCCTTCCTGATTACAAATCCATTGCTCTGCTTGTGAAAAAACATGTGCTAGGATATTGTTTATTTTATTTATTTTTTTTTGTAAAGCTTTGAACAAACTATGATTTGATAAAACACCTTCTGGAATGATAGAAAAGTTCTTCTATTTATGTCAAGCAATCTCAGTGTCTGTGTTTTTTAGCCGCTAATCATGGAACCCAATTTCCAGGGAGACAGACAAAGGAAGAATTTCGAAGTTGATTTCTAAAAGCATCTCAATTTCTCTGTTTGTAGATTTTGTGGGATTTTTTTGGAAGCTGTGTGGAATGTACTTTTTACAGTTTTCCAGTGAAACGTCCAGTACAGGCATTCGCAGAGACCTTACATTCTGTCTAGATCAGCAGCCAAACCTTCTTCTACGCTGTTATTTTAAGCTCATCAGAGCTTCATCTGGTAGGTGCAAATGACATTTTGTATCACATCACTTACAGTGACTTTAGCGATCATTATATGAAAAACACACAATTGTTTATGTGTTATTGAGAAAAAAAATGTTGTTTGTACACAGTAGCAAGTTAGTGGCAAGATGAGACTTGGTTGTTTTCAGATGAGTAGTGGAAACAGATTAATTTTGAGTTGTCCATGGAAAAATAGTGCATGTGATTTAATGCTTTAGATGTTCTGTAAAAAGCAGAGTTTCAGAATCTCACTGGTAATCTCACTTTAGCTTCTCTAAAGAGGCCCTTGAGAGACTCTTCCAGACAGTAGGTACTGTGGTGGGCTGCAAAGAAGATTTTGAGGATCCTTTTACAAGTCCTGATGCAAAAGACCTGCTTGTATGGAGCTGGCAGTGAGGAGCCTGCATGGCTCAGCACTGACTCTGGGTGAATCTGTGGCTTACAGGGAAATCAAGGCGGCAGATACACCTGGCCTGAGCTGTGATTAAAAGTTAATTTCTGACATGTCTTGTCTCATGTAGGCATAGGAGAGTAGGCAGAGGAGAGTTTGCTCAGCTACACTTACAGGCACCTGTGCCATGTGTGGCTGTGTGACCCATGCCAAAGTCCAGCCTTTGAGAACTCCGGGAGAGAGAGTTAAAAAAGGAAGCTAAAGTCACCAAACTAACATTTCAGGTCCACTAGAAGTCTAAGTAAACAGTAAAATGTATGTGTGGGTGCTATAGCAAACAAAACGGTATAGAGGACTTTCAGAGATAAGCATAAGGAAAAAATAATGGGACATTTTGTTAGTTGACAATACTTCATTTTTTTTTTTTTTTTGTAATATACCTCTAAAAAGTAATTAATCCTTTTGCTTTTTCTATCTTTAGATACGGTTTTGTGGAAGAGGAAATCAAGTCAGCTCATTTCTAATGACTTTGCCTAGTCCCTTCCACCTGTGAGTGCCTGTATCTGGAAGCAGTGTGTCAGTGACCAAGGTATGAAGCCTGCTTTCTTGCTTGAATTTCTACTCAGAGCTGTTCCTTCTGCCCCTTGMGATTCTTGCTCTCATTGTTAGTGCRCTTTATGAGGTCAGTAGACATAAGATACAGAGAGAAGGAATCTCTGGCTGATTCCTAAAGATGCTGACCACCTGTTCTGCCGCGAATATGAAAGGAAATGTAGAGATTAATCAAGTTTCAGATAATGAGGGCTCACTCATTTTATGCTATTTGCCAGATTATTGACTTATTTCCAGTCATTTCCCACACAGTTATGGACATTCAATCATTCAATATCGGAGAAAAATAGTAAAGAGGAAAAAAGAATGAGCAATAGAAGGACCAAATAGAGAAGGACAAATCAAAGGGCAGAACAGGGAGAAAAAAAGAAACAGGAGAAAAGAAAAGAATTCAAAGAAAAAGAAGGAAAGAATCAAACTCAAGCGTTCTGAGTTTTCAGAACAAGCAATATGTAGAGGCGAGAGAACCATTATATGCAGAATCTGGAAATGCATACTACGCAAACATACAGTTTTGGCTGAACAGCAAGAGAGCCTGAGGCCTGACTCAGTGTTGGATTCATACACCTCCCATATTGCTCAAAACTCAGACCCTGAATTTACTAGCTCAATCTGTATTTAATATTTAAGTTATCGAGACTGCAACAATGAATTCTCTTATTCTCAAACCAGACGCAGAGCTGTGGCACAGCTCTGTTCCCACTTAGTAAGGGAGTGCAGTCATGGGCCTAGTTTCAGTCCACATAGAGATGAGATCAAGTCACTAAGTTTGGAATGATATTTTTGCTCATCTGTTCTCCAGTTCTGGATCATTTATATCCAGGGTCTTAGTTTGCATTCAGTCGTCTTTTTTATGTCCATTGCCCCTSTAATTATTGATAGTAAGACTAGCTCTTGGGCTGGGTTGGGTTTGTGTTGGGTTGCATCCATACTCACTTCCACCGCTGGCAAATCCTTAATAATTCTTTTCCCAGAACAGATGGAAATAGTTGTTTACTACAGTCTTATGACAGGAATGTTACAGAAAATAAATTAATGTTATTTTAGAGAGAGAGCATCACAAAAGCTTGTGCCAGTAGGAAGGGGAGTAGACACCATTAAATGGAAACCTTCACATTACTTCCACATAATAGCATTATATTAAAAAGCCAAATGGGGGTTGACAGCTTGTAATAGGCTTTTTCTACCTTGAATGACATACCTTTTTCCATAGTTTCCATTCACATCTTCAATTTTTTTTTCCACCAAAGTATCCTTTATGGATGACTTTAATTCTTGTACACCAAAATGAGACCTCATGTTGAAAGAGGCTTCAAAACTTTCCTTTCYGGAGGGTTGGACGAGGTGATCTCCAAAGGTCCCTTCTAATCTTATTCATTCTGTGATTCTACGATTCTTTAAACTCTGTTTTTCAATAGTTTCTTGGACTGATCTTCCTCCATAGGAAAAATACATCAGCAGCATTGCTAAACACTGCTGCTCATTCTATGGTGCAGAAAGGGCTGTGGTTAAAGTTGATAAGTTGCACTTAAAACTGAAGGAAGCTACTTAATCCTTCTCTTTAACGTGCATTAGTCCTCTTCGTTATTGGAGCAGCTCTGGAGAGCAGACCTAAGACAGTATCCAGGTAGATTATATTTGAGGCAGAGGAAATTCCGTAGGAGAAAGATTCCGTAAAGACTTGAAGATTTGCTATTTTGTTAAACTGCGTTTCTTATTAGGGTAAGCTATTCTGTTTTCTGTTATTTCGCAGAACGGTTCTCCTTTGCACAGCAAAGACTGATTTCTTTACATTTGCCATCAGCCTCGGAAATAAAGAAATTCCAGTTACTTACTACTGCTGTTGCTGCTGGCRAGAAAACTACTTTTACAAGCCATACAAGTAAGTATAATAGTAATGTTTTCCCGAGGCCTGTTATTCAACACACCTTTACCTTATWTAACACTGGGGAAATGCCAGTTGGGACCACCCATTCTTGGAACTGGAAAAGACCAGCACAAATTGAAAAAAAGATTGGAAGCTGAATCATAGTGTGGAATATCCATTTCCAGTTCCTGAGGGCTACCCATACAGCAACAAACATAGGACACTGGGCCACGAAAAGGTTTTCTCGGCCTGTCTATGGCCCTGCTTCAGGAAAACATTTGTATTCAGAAGTGGTGCTTAAACTTAGTCTAATATTTAGCATGTGTTTAAAAGTCTTTTGGCTTCAGTGGTTTTAAATATACTCGTGAGCAAGCAATATCTCTTGCAAGCTCTGGCCTAAGCCAATAGACACCATCTTTCTCTGGAGTTTTACGAAGGATATGTGACCCTCAGCCAGCCAGCCTTTCTGCGATGCTTAAGTTTGTTGTACTGACACTTCTGCCTTTGTCTTACTGACACTTGCTGACACATGAAAGTTACTACTGTGTRTTCAGTTATACAGATATAAAAGTGCTACAGTTGATTTATTCCTTCTAAGAAGGCAAATAAACTTACTGGCATGAAAGGATGCCTATTAGCAGGATATCAAGCAACTTTCTGTTAAAATAATCACATTAATCTGACAAACTATCTCAGGACAAAATGTTTGYAGAGGCCCTGCAAGGCCTTGGTTTCAAGCAGAAATTATGAGGTCACTTAATTGGATTCATAGACTTTTCACTCCCGCTGGGAATTTAATAGAAAGCACCCTCCTCTGGTTTAGCTTTCTGGTATTTTTAATAGGTTCCAGCTTGAGAATAATTAGCAACTCTCATATTACTTAATATGTTATCAGGATATGAAGCTACTGACAATTCTGACAATTYATATTAGTGAGTCTAGCATTCAGGTTTTTTAGTTAGGTCTGTTGGATATAATATATGGATAAAATGTGCAGGAAGAAATCAGTGGATTAATATTTCAACACTGCATTTTAGAAACAAAGCTTTTGGGGAGGTCTTTATTGTTCACATGAAGAAATCCAAAGAAGATAAGATAGAAGCTCATTCCTGTGCAAAAAGCAACCCTTCTTTCATATCAAATCATATAGGATTTGTCTTGTTCAAAAACCATGCATAAACTAGTAGAAAAATTATGTTTGCCATTATCTCTTTTGTCTGAAAGCGTAAGTATTTCTTGATCTAGCCAGGTGAGGATTATATAGAGAAGAACAGCACAGCAATATTTTTGTGTTTTGGAGACATATTTCTGTGTTTCGGAGAACCTTGCTAGACTTCAACAATAACAGAAGGTCCATGCAGCTCTTTTCCAGAGAAGTCAATGAGAAAAAGCACTCAGCAAGGTCTGAAAAATCCTGGACATTCACACAAGGAATGAGAACTTCAGAGTTACACCTGCTAAAGCTAACACATTTTTAAAGGAATTGAGATTGGGTTTTGATGCTTAAGTGACTGTCGAAGATCAGAATTCAAGATGAAAGCCAGCATGACAGATGATTATTCAACACCTGCTTATGGTGAAATTCTTACACCTTTCTCTGAAACATCTGGTATTTACAACAATTACAGATAAAGTATTGACCTCTAGGTCTGAATGTTAGAATAACTGAATGGCAAATGCTGGGATTGCTTAGAGAGAGTTTTCAATGATTATACTTTTGAAAAGTAATTCCCATGCTCCAAAATGCAAATATACAGGTAAAGAAAAGTGTGTGTTACTTGGCTATTATATTATTCAAAAATCTATATATAGATTTTTGAGGTCTGATCTAATATCTGTCACAATTAGTGGATAACTGGATCTTTGTCTTGGATGAACTGAGATAATGCCATAAAGAATATTATTTGGCATGGAATCATCTCACATATCATTCTCCAAAGACTGGGAAAAATTCCTRTGTTTGTAAGCTAGTGGAGTTTCTGCTTGCTTTTACTTCTTGGTGTAATTATAAATTTTAATGTTTGCATGTGACTTAAATAATGGTATCCTTGTCTTTTATATGAAAAACAATTAGAAGTACTGAAAAGACAATAAAACAAATATGTAAAAAAAAAAAAMAAAAAACCTGCCACTGAACTCACTAAATCTTTTTGAATTCTTAACTGGGATTTTGTGAAGTCATTTAAACATACAATCATTTTTCTGAAAGGGAAGATGGTCTCCATGTGTCTGATAACACTAGTGGGTTCATTCTGAGAAGAAAGGAACCTTTATAAATATCATTCTGGATTCTCACTGCTGTTTTTTATGTTTCCCAGACTAAAGGGACTGTAATGTGTAATAATCTACCTCGAGACCTGCAAATGATGGTGAGGAGGTACTAAGACTGTGGCTGTCTAGAAGTCTTGGGGTCACAGATTGCAGTTAGAGTAATTCTGCAGGTCWGAGCTTCTTTATGTCAATGGAAAAGGCCTGAGTACATACATGTTTTGCGTGTCATGTCTGAAGGACACGTTGGAGATTTTGCTTATCTATCATTGCATCAGCTCTGAAATCTTCTTTTGTCCATGAATATAAGAGTCTTTTGTCCAAGAATAAAAGGCAGCAGGAGACAATGAGGTATTTTATTATTCTCTCAGCACCTTAGGTCTTGCCCTGTATTTCCAAGGGAACAATTCATGTGGAACAAACATGTGCAAAGAACACAAGATCCACATAAAAGGGCACCAAGCATCCTGTTTGTGAATAGTTGTCATGTAGTTGCAGCCAGCTGCCAGCATGTAATGATGATTTATGTTTTGGCTGCCATTTGCTTGGCTTACTTGTGATTGGCTCTTAATCCTGCCTAGATGGAATGACTGGGCTGCTTTCAAAAGACAGGGCACTTGAAGTGGAGCAGTTGTTAATGCTTTTTATAATCCGCGCGGCAGCTGAAGAGCTCTAATCACAGCGACTGTAGTGCCGATGAACGAAGCTCACGGACAGCACAGGCCGACAGGAGACACCAACTACAAGGTGCATATTTGGGTTCAATAGCAGCCACACCAGGCTGCTAATCATCCTCATTTCTCTGTTGTGGCTACTGCGGCTTTGATCAAGAGAGAAGTTGCGAAAGCCGCTTTACCTTGCCAAAGTAGATAATAGAGAGTACAGAGAAGAAGGAAAATTCGGGTGAAGAGGATGTGTCATTGGTAATCTAGGCTGCGGAACAATGAAATTTTGAGTGTTCGCATGAGGCCTTTGCTTAAATGGCCCAAAATAGTTCCATATAATTACCAAGTTTTCAGCTGAACAGTTTGGCAGGGCTATGGAACATGTGCAGAGGCTTTCCATCGCCTCATGTGGTCTTTGTGCTTGTGAAGGGTGAGAAACACTTAAACTGAAACAGTCCTCATGTACGGGTTCTCTGCTGGACCAGTGTTCTTAACTTAGTTTCCAGAGGTCAATTACTTTTGACTTGGGAAATTTTGCTAATTAATTCCTAGCCAGCATGGCTTCGCAGCTTACAAAAAAAAGCAAACAAAACAGGGGCAGCAAAAGCCTTCCCAAGAGATGTGCTGCAAATGAAAAATATCCCAGCACTTGGAGATGTCTTGGTAAGTTCAAGTGCCTGTTTCTGCGAGTAAAAGGCCTTGGTAGGACACACAYTATCCATACAGTAAAGCAGAGTATGTCTACTACTGAACTCTCTGTGACCCATACATTAAGTACCTAGAGTACAGTACCAGGCAAACTAAAAATAACATCTACGGTATACATTTTAACTGTGCTTTGGAAATGTATAGAGAAAAAGGACCTATGCTCCTTTTTATTTTTTTTTAAACATGGATAATATAAGAAGAATTCCTCAGAGCTGAAAATTACTATTTTAAAGGCTTCAAGATGTCTCACTAGGTTTTCCTTCCTGGCAGTGAGCCAAAAATGAGTGGTTCTGGTTTTTAAGTGTATATGATCCCCAGTTCCTTAAGCTTTTTAATTCCCTCCTTTCCCATCATTTTAAAGTAAAACATTCAAAATCTTACTTTTTCCTTCTGTCTCAAAAATAGTTATTAAAATGCATAGATCCAAATATCCTAGCTAAGTTTCTTATTAAATTTAAATGGAAGTTACACAAAAAATATAAATATGGTATCACTATTTTCAGACTAGTTCCTAGGATGAATATAGCAAATTTGTGCTTTGTATACATGTGGGGACCTTTGATGAACACTTTTAATGGTTAAAAGCATCTGYTTTATGTGTAATTTAGATTTTTTTTCCATAAACTGTCAATAGACCACAACTTCCAAGACACCTTTTCTTGGGGTAGGTCTCTGAATCTCATTGTGTTAAGCAAAGCATGGAAAGATCTTGTCCAGTTGGAATTTAGGAAAAAAAAACCATAAATAGAATAATTTACATAAGGTTTTATGCATGGGGATAAACCCTATGCATAACCATGCACAGACCATTTAAAATGAGCATTTCTTAATGCCCAAGTCTCTAATTAATTCCTCACAGAAAACCATTTATGGTTTTCTCTGTTCAGAATATGTAAGAATTCTAATGAATTGGGAAGGATTTATTCTTGGTTGCAAGTGAAACTACTTCTTTGAGGAGCTGAACAAATTTGTCTATTTGCAAGGATTTTGAAGTCAGCCACTTTCGCTGGCATCCATATAATTACAAGCATTTTTTAAAAGAAAAAGTAGAAAAAAAATACAAGCAACATTGTACTTTTGCAATGGCTTATCTGGAGCTACCAAGATTTGTCACTCAAAATTCTCTGAGTACSTTCTTGTTTTGTGCAAGAACAGCATTGTCATAAACTGTGATAGGTACCATAATGCTTATTTACCAAGGTAATTTGGTTCTCACAATTAACTCAAAGCTCAACAATAAAAAATAAGATAGAAAAGAAAAATAAGATACCAGTGTTAATAAACTCATAATACATGAAATGAAAATATTGCTCTTGGCATAGCAGAAATAATAGCAAGTAAGGTAAGTTTGATTTTTCTTTTCCCAAAAAATATTTCATAAAAATATTGTTTTAAAAATGTTTAGTATTGTAATGAATATTGGTAATCTCAAAAAAAAATTATATAAAAAAGTTATAATTTTTTTTTTTGTTCTCATACTCTTTTTCAACTGAAGCAGATAAGGAAATACAGAACAAAGATGTTTCTGCTTTTTTTCCCTTGGTTTTGTTCTTCTTCCTCACAGAGTTCTAATAAATATAGGATGAAATATTCTGGCTCATTTGCTTGTAAGTTAAATCAGAAAGTTATATAATTTTTTAAATTTTTTTTCTGTTTAATTCTTAGCCTATATCAGATAACACATAATTTGAAAAGTCAGATCAGTTTCTCAAAGTCATATTTATTTCATGCTTTTTCTATTTTATTGAAAATATTTTATTGGAAATAAAATTTAAAAGTTAGATGAAACAGTCATTTAAACTATACTTTAAAAATCTGAATAATAATGAGCAACATTCTGTACAATATCTTCAACTTGCAAAGCTATGGAAATAAGGGCAGTGGAAACAGAAGGTACTATTGGAAATTACATTTATATAGGTTATTGAAGTTACTGTCAGAATTCACGATGACTTCAGCAGTATTGRAGCTAAAGTATAAAACATTTTTTCTTTTTTACACAGCTCAATACTTTACACTTCAGATCATGTTTTTTTTTTAGCAAGCTATATATATATACATTTTCGAGCCTTTAAAAAAGTGAAAGCTTTAGAAATAGAGTTCTTAATGCCTCATTATTTCAGATTACAAAATCAATGTGTAAATTGCAATATTTCATTTATTTTAGCTTTTTTTTTCTTTTCTTTTTTTTTTTTTTTTTTTTTCCTGGATAACATATATTTCCAGGCTTCTCTTCCCTAGAACTCTATGTCAAAATGGTGTTTTTTTAAAAATTAATTAATTAATTATGTTTCAGTTGTTGCTTTTATTTCTGAACAAAGAGTTGTTTGAATTTCCTCGTGGCTTGGCGGTAGGATGTTCCAGAGTTTTATAAGGCTGGTTTGTTTTCTTGGGACATAACGAGCCTTTTCAGACTTGCAGTCATGAACAGCATGAATAGCCAAAAGGCAATTAATTACCTCAAGATGAGAAGGTCTTTTTCACTAGCATTTAAAAATTTAGCAAACAGAGCTAATTAACTTTCATCTTGCTGTCAAACCACTTGAACCCAGGCACTAATTTAGGCTCTTAAACTAAGTAATTGTTTTGTTGATTGCTTTTGACCAGCATATAAGAGGAGTAAATCTGCCCTGGGAGTAATTACTCATATGATCACTAGATTCTGAGTCATTCACTTGCATTCAGTAGATACTTAATGTTGACTTAGTCCTGAGGAAATTAGGAGCTACTAAAGGCTGGCACTGCTCAAAGTGAACAAGTGATAGAATCTGTCAATATGGCACGATGGTCTGGAAGCGTGAAGCTCATGTGATTCTATTTGAATAAGTTCCTTCCCCCTATGCATCTTCACTTTGGATAAAACATCTGTAAAATATTAGTAAAGGGGATTAGGACCAAATATCCGTATGTGAGATACTTACAGCAGACCTAAAAGCACAAAATTAATTGTTTTAATA